AGAGAGAGAGAGAGAGGGCTGTCTTCTTTACTGATTACATGTTAAAGAGAAGTTTCCTTGAGAAAACAGTCCTGGGTTGTAAAGCTGGCAAGAAAACTATTTAGCCTTTCAAGACGATTTCTTTAAAAAAAAAATGCCAGTGACAGGTATCTAAAGTAGATTCCCTAAGAAAAAGGGAAGGGAGCGAGGGAGTCTCCGTTTTTGCATCAGGGAAAATGATATATGGAGTCAGTGGACAGTGCAGATGGTTACCTTGCTTGGTTGCTAATGGAAAGGTTGGAGGTTCGAGCCCACCCAGAGGCACCTCAGAAGATGGCCTAGCCGTCTGCATCTGGAACATTAGCCATTGAAAACCCTATGGGAAAAAACAAACCTAACCTACTGTTGTTAACTGATTTGAACTCATAATGACTACAGGATAGAGTCCAACTGCTCCCTAGGGTTATTGAGACTGTGAATCTTTATGGGGAGCAGATAGCCTCAACTTCTGAGGAACTACTGAGCCAGCTTTCCGTTAAGCAGTGCTTCTCCAGGGGTCCTCTAAACTGTGGAGTGCAGTTCTACTCTGACACACTTGGGGGCGCCAGGAGTTGTGTTGACTCAGAGGCAGCTGGGCTTTTTTCCATTGCTCCCAACCCCCTCTTATTTCCAGGCCTGGATCTTGTGGGAATAATGAATCACTGTGTTCTTACTAAATCTGTGTCCCTTTGTCTCCAGTGGGTCGCCAGCATCGACGTGGTGGAGAATGAAGAAGCTAGTGCCAGCGTTGTGGTCAAAATGACAGATTCCTTTACTGAGCAGGCTGACCAGGTAATTCCCAAAGCCTCTGTGAGCCAACGGAGGGCTCTGCTGGCTCTGTATGTAAATATTGGTTCTCAAATGAGAGGTTTCATGCTTGAGCAAGTAGTCCTGGTGGTGCTGAGGTTAAGCACTGGATTGCTAGCTGCAAGGTTGGTACTTCAAAAACAACAGCTGTTCTTCGAGAGAAAGATGAGGCTTTGTGTGACCCTGTACAGAGTCGTTATGAGTCAGAATCAACACAATGTCAGTGGGTTATATGTAGAGCACAAAATGTTTGAAAAGTGCCAAAACCACAATGAAGGTAGGGCCTACATTACCCATCATCCAATTCTGTTCCCATTTTAGACTACTGCCTATTTTTTCTTTTTCTATATGTGCTGGTGTGGCACTGTGGGTTAATGCACCAGACTGCAAAGCCATTTGAACTGCAAAGTTGGTGGTTCAAGCTCACCAGCTGCTCCTTGGAAACCCAATACAGGATTGCTATGGGTTGGAACCAACTCAATGGCACTTAACAACAACAAAATATATGCTTAGAAGTTTTATAAGTTGAGATAATTTAGTATTCTATATTTGATGATTACCTTTAAAAATTTGTGTTTATTTTTTATATTTTCTGGTTGCCTCCCTTTTTTTTTTTTTAACTGAGCATGAAATTTTTTTTTTCTAACAACATATGAGGAGGCTTCAGAAAGTTTGTTGAAAATTTTCTTTTTCTTAAAGCTTTTATTGTGAATTGAGTGATTGTTTACATGGGAGAACATTGGTTTTGCACTCATTCTGTCGTGCTTTGTTTCACTGCAATGATTACAGTCCCCTCTGTGCATCATCATTTAACAGTATTTGCTTTTATTCCCTATCTTATTTTTCTTTTTTGACGTACACAGAAACACTCAGGAATATGTAATCATTTAAACAACAAAAGGGTACATTCTGTAAACCTGCCTCCTGGCCACAAGCACACAGCCTTTCTCTTTCCATGAGTCTAGAGACCTCAGCTGCTCTATCTCTCCATGCTATCACCTCTGCCTCCATCTCTGGTATTGGTGTTTCTCTGGTTAGGGTCCCAAGTTCCACTCATGCTCTTCTCTCTTGATGGTCTTAGGGTCCTCTGTTCCTGGAATGTAAGATTAACTACTCCCCCCTTTATGTTACAAAACTTCTACCTTTACAGTTGTGACAATCGCAATTAGTCATTGTAACAGTTACTCACTTTTGAATCAAAAGAATCTTATCCCCATCTCCTTTTACCAGATCCGTCTAGACAAAATGAAAACCATTCAGTGGGGATTCTACCTTACCTTGTACACTCTGAAACTAAACTCCCTCTTGAAAACTTGTACCAGTCATTCATGCCTTTATAGCCTTCCTCCCAACCCCCTGTTTTAGGTAGCCAATGTCTAACTTGCCCATCTCTATCAACCTTATACCAAGGGGATAGGCTTGATCCTTGATATGAAGACTCCTTCCCTCTTAGTTGGTATTTTGAGCTACTTCATCCATAAGTATAGATCAAGTCCATCATATTGTAGCAATTTACACTTGCTTTCTTTATCAAACTTTTTAATCTTCCTCTAGTCGAGCTCTGGTCATCAAGCCATTGAAGCTAGGTCAAATGGGTACTATTTGCAAGTTTGGGCATTCTTACACGTCTCGTACCACTTCATATCAGCTGGACGATTCACTCTCAGCTCTAGCCCTCTGTGGCTAGGTCAGTGTTCATGGGCTCAGGAGTTCCCAAGTCTTCTTGAAAACTTTTTGTTGTTAGGTGCCATCGAATTGGTTCTGACTCAGTGACCCTATGCACAACAGAACAAAACACTGCTCGGTCCTGGGCCAACCTCACATTGTTGTTATACATGAACCCACTGCCACTGCCACTGTGTTAGTCCGTCTTTTTTGGGGTCTTCCTCTTTTTCTCTGACCCTCCACTTTACAACGCATGATGTCCTTCTCTAGGGACTGTTTCCTATTGATAACATGTGTGATGTATGAGAGACTAAATCTTCCCATCCTGACTTCTAAGGAGCTGTATTTTTTTCCAACTACAGAGTTGTTCGTTCTTCTAGAAGTCCATAGTACTCTGAACATTCTTCTGTAGTCTTCTTTATTCATTATCCAATATGCACATGAAAATATCATGGCTTGGGTCAGGCACACTTTTGTTCTCAAACTGGTATCTTTGCTCTTGAACACTTTGCAGAGGTCTTGCACAGCAGCTTTGCCTAATGCAATAAGTCATTTGATTGCTTGACTGCTGCTTCCATGAATGTTGATGGTTGATTAGAGCAAAATGAAGTCTTTTCTGTTTATCTTGATGCCGCTTATTAGTCCAGTGGTGAGGATTTTTGTTTTCTTTACATTGAGGTGCAACCCATACTAAAGGCTGTGGTCTTTGATCTTCATCAGTAAATATTTTAAGTTTTCTTTGCTTTCACCAAGCAAGGTTGTATCGTTTGCATATCGCAGGTTGTTAAGGAGGCTTCCTTTAACCCTGGTGCCATGTTCTTTTTCAGGGCTCCTTAAAGTACGGTAAAGTGACTTAAAAAGAAGAGACTAGTAAACCGAGACATTTCTTTGGACAGTATCCTGTTCCATTGATCTTGAAATTTGTGTACCCCTTTGCTCTTTTTTAAGGTGACTGCTGACGTTGGAAAGCTCTTGGGTGAAGAGAAAGTGGACGCCATCCTTTGCGTGGCGGGAGGATGGGCCGGTGGCAATGCCAAGTCCAAGTGTGAGTCTCTGCTGAGTTTGCTGTTTATCCAGCCCTGCTGTTTGTTCAGTTGACACCAGCTGTTTTACTGGCTCTCTCCAGAATCTGTAATTGTCGGTGTTGTTATGTGCCATCACGTCAGTTCTGATTCATAGTGACCCTACATAGAGTTTCTGAGGAATGGCTGGTGAGCAAGCTTGAACCGCTGACCTTGCAGCTCAAACCGACAGTGTAGTCCAGCATGTTAACCCACAGCGCCACACCAGGACTTCAGAATCTATAATAGTTCTGTGAAATAAGGATTAAAAAAAAAATCCAACTAGTATGTCAAGTCCACTCTAACTCATTCATGGCAATCCCATGTGCGTCAGAGGAGACCTGCACTCCATGAGGCTTTCATTGGCTGATTTTGCAGAAGTAGATTGCCAGGACTTTCTTCCGTGGTGCCTTTGGGTGGATTGCAGCTGAACATGTTAATCATTTGTGATCACACCTGTGGGTGGCTCCATGGGTGCTCATATACATTACTTTGTTTAGGGGCTGGTCTTTCCTGTTAGACCGTGAGCCCCGGGAGACCAGGATCTGGCTTGTTCTTGTACATTGTTGGGTTCTTATGCCCTGGCACAGGGTCCTGTATGGGTGTAGGCCCACAAGTGCAATAAATAGAAGGATTCCATGAATGCATGATTGCTTCACTGACTGTTTGGCCAATCTAACAAGTCTGTTTCACACTCCTCTTTTGTTGGCGAAAATTTTACCATTTGACCACTGAGGAAGCTGACCACATGGCCGGGGTTTGAACCCGTGTCTTGCTCACCTCCTGGCCCTGTGCTGTGGGTGTTAGACCTTGTGAACAGGGACTGGGGTAAGGCAGTGGACTGGTGTGAGTCCTGTTTGAAGTGTGGAGTTGAAAGGGCAGCATCTTCCCCGAGAATGATGAGATGTTGTGTTTTCCCTCAGCTCTCTTTAAAAATTGTGATCTGATGTGGAAGCAGAGCATTTGGACGTCGACCATCTCCAGCCACCTGGCCACCAAGCACCTCAAGGAGGGAGGCGTGCTGACCCTGGCCGGCGCCAAGGCTGCTCTTGATGGGACTCCTGGTAAGCCTTCAGCTGCCCATCTGGGAAATGGGAATACTTCCACCTGCTCACTGGGGCCCCAGCCACCCTGCTGAGAGGGCACTGGGAGCATGCTCTCCCACGTACGGGCTGTGTTTCCTTGTTAAGCCTTAATCTGTTTAGGGTACAGTGATTTGTGTTCAATCATTTGTGTTCATTCTGGTGTTCATGGTGGTTAAGGCAAATTGTGAGTAGGAATCTCCTGCCTATCGGGTTTATATCACTGTTTACTCTGACTCAAGGCAACACCATGTACGCCACCTTCCCATTGTTATGGCCTCAGCTTATCTTCCAGCACTGTATCAGACAATGTCCTCTTGTCATCCATAGGGTTTCCAATGGCTAAGCTTTGGAAATAGATCACCAGGTCTTTCTTCTTAGTCTTTCTTAGTCTGGGAGGTTCCCCCATGGGTGACCCTGCTGGTATTTGAAATACTGATGGCATAGCTTCCAATCTCACTGCAACATGCAAGCCATCACACCATGGCAAGCTGACAGCTGGGGCTGGATTAACTGGTTAAGCTAACCTGTATTGTCGACATACTGCGTCCACACATCACTGCTCAGTGGCTCAGCTGCAGGAAGAGGAGTCTTCACTCTGGCTGTGTAGCCTTGAACAAATGAGCTGATCTCTTTTAGTTACAATTCCAGAGCATGCTATACGATAGTGATAGCATCTACCTTCCAGAGTAGTTGCAAAGCACCAGATGCAATATAATAGTGGTAGGCACCAGAATGTGGTCGGACTTGTGATATTGTTTCATCTCATAAATATTCTCTTCAACCTGGTAGAGGTACCTTCCTTATCTTTTTCAATTTACAGGTAAGGAAAGGAAAGCTCCGGGAAGTTAGGTAACTTGTCTGGGCTTGTATAATACATAGGTTGCCGAGCTGGAACCCAAATGCTGGTCATTTGGCTCTATAATACAATCCCAAGTTTCCTTGGCATCTTTCTTCCCTTTGGGATAGGGCGAAAGGAATTTATGAGAGGAAGGAGAGTGGGGACTGGGTGGTGGGGGAGTACCAGAGGTTGAATGTGTCTACCTCCAGCACTCAAGTTAAATTCTTCCTCAAGAAGAAATCAGAGCTTTTTGTTTTGAGCTCTTTAGCAATAGTAGAGACCTTGACCTACCTGTATTAGTTTCCTGTGGCTGCTTGCAAAAATGGCATGGAGGGCACATCTGACTTCCTTGGGCTTCATATGGGGGAAGGAGACTCAAACTCAAAATCATTCGAAGGCTGATTCCTATGAGGCAGAGGTCAGACATGCCTCCACGCTACAGCCTTCTGTATCTTACCCAGACACCACTCTTGCTCCTATGTTGGGCTTGATAATCTGTTGCAGTGACCACACAGAACTCACAGACAATACTCATGATTATGGGGTTTATTAGGGAAATGAACAGAATCAGAACCAACTCAGGATGCAGCAGCTCTCCAGCAGGGAACACGTCTTCTTAATTGTATCGCAGGCATCCTCACTCTTGTCCTCAACCTCTCAGTCATGTGGCTCCTTGGCCTCTTGTCCTGCTTGAGCAAGAGTTACAACGCTCCGTTAGATAGTCTGTAAATGCCCAGAGGGCAGCCAGCTTTGCAAGCCAGCCTCCTGGCCGAAGGCACTCAGCTTTACTCAGTCCCAGGGGCTGAGAAGCTCGCTGCTCTGTCTCCATGCCACTGCTTGTCTGTGCAGGGAACTTGAGGCCCAGAGGACACACTCCAATCATGGCTCTTCTAGCTTGATGGTCTTGGGATCATCTGTTCCTGCTTCTGAGGTGGCTCCTTTGAAGCCAGCAGAGTGGCAAAACTAACCAACTCCCACATTAGAGTCCCATCCACGTGATTTGCACAGTCCCACCCAATTGCTTGGTGGTCGTTAAGAATATGGATAGAAGAGTATTAACTACCCCACTACTGTAGGAAATCGCCACATACTTGGTGGTGTAAAGCAATAGAAGAACTGTGTTCTCTCTCAGCCTTGGTGGCCAGAAGTCTGAAATCAAGGTGTTGGCAGGGCCACACTTCCACCAGAGGCCCTGAGGGAGAACCTGGACAGGTTCCGGGGAGCAGGGCCTGGACATCTGTTATTGGGGGCCACTAGTCACCTCACTGTTCCACTGCGATGAGAGCTTTGTGAATGAGAATCAGCCTAAAGCTGATCAGTCATACCTCAGCCTGCCTTCGTTTTTAACACCAGACACCTGAGGCTAAGTTAGACCTCATAGGTTAAGAGGGGGTACCATCCTTGGGTCAGTTAATTCACTGAAACGATTCACAGAACTTCTGGGAGATTTTATACTTACAACTTTGTTGTTGTGTGTGGTTAAGTTGATTCGAACTCGTAGCAGGCTCTAAAAGACAGAGTAGAACTGTCCATAGGGTTTCCGAGGATGCAATCTTTTTTTTTTAAATTTTTTTATTGTGAGGTTTACATGGGAGAACATCAGCTTTACACTCCTTATACCATATTTTGTTTCGTTGCAATGATTACAGTCCCCTTCGCGCATCATCAAATAACCCCAAAGGGGCCCCCCCCAAAGCCCTTCCCCCCCCCCCCCCAAACCGCCAGCACACAGCCCTTCTCCCTTCCTGAGTCCATTGTCCCTAGCTGCTCCCTCTGTCCATGTCATCTTTTGTCTCCATCTCTGATGTCACTCACTGCCTCTCTGGGTAGGGTCCCGCTCTCTGTTCTTAGTTGATGGTTCCAGGGACCTCCACTCCTGGGCTGCAAAATCAGTCACTCTCCTGAGGATGTAATCTTCACAGAAGCAGACTGTGAAATCTTTTTTTCCCAGGTAACAGCTGGAGTGTTTGAACTGCCAACCTTGGAGCTAGCAGCCACTGGTTTTATTGTAGTACAAGGCTAACCATTGGGATCATCATAAGGAGAGATGTACAGGTGCAGTCTGGAAGGTTCCCAGTGTGCAGCTGCCGTGTCTTAGAGAAAGCACGTCACCCTCCCTTCACCTCTGAGCCTTTGTGTTCAAGGCTTTCTTGGCCAGACTTGTTAACAGACTAAATCGTGCCCTCTGAAGGCAGCTGATACTGACCTTCCCTTTATGTTTTTTTATGGTTTGGCCGGCCTCATGGTCAACACACATCTTCAGGTGTGGCCTGGAAATCCCAGACCAACCACCCAAAATCCCACCCCACCCACTGTTGTTAAGTTGATTCCAACTTACCGTGACCCAATAGGACAGAGTAAAGCTGCTTCAGAGGGTTTCGGAGGCTGTACATCTTTACTTCTCTTTCTCCCATGGAGGAGTTGGTGCTCTCAGACTGCTGACCTTTCGGTTAACAGCCCAACGCTTAACCCTCTGTAGCAGCAGGGTTTAGCCCCAGGCCAAGGCACCTCAGTTACCCCAAAGGTTATTTCTCAGGAACCAAAGACAGAGGCCACCTTACTCAGCATAAAACTAGGTACTTTAACCCAGAATCACCTTTCTCAATTTTAACTCGGAGCCTCTTATGACTTAACAGTCTTATGACTTGCCACTCTTTCTGTTTTATTATATTTCCCAGAGCTTATGAGTTCATGGGTAGAGCAATCATTAAAGCTGTGCAAATGTTAGCTATTTGTTTGAGTGAAATCTGATTTTTATTAAAGGTGACATAAAACAGAGGAATTAGACAGTAAATACAGAGATGAGTAATAATAGCTTGACCTTTTAAAGGAGAACCCAGGACTGAGGGACTTATTTTCCTGAAAGATAAAACAGTCTCCTACTTCCCTTTTAATATTTTATATACTAGTTTGTAACTATTTGTCTTTGTTTAAATTCTAAATTAATGGTTAAGATGGAAGGCTCTGGAATCATTGTGGCTCTGCTGGCTGTGAAAAAGTATTTGGCAAGTGATGTAACCTCTCTGAGCCTCAGTTTTGTCATCTGTGAAATGGGTTTTAGTTATAATACCTCCTCTATAGAGCTGTGATTTGCAAATGTCTTGTTGTTGTTAAGTGCCGTTGAATCAGTTGAATCAGTTCTGACTCACAGCGACCCTGTCTAGGGTTTCCAAGGAGCTACTGGTGCATTTGAACCTTGTGATTTAAACCGACCTTGCCGTCTAGTGCTTTATCCTACAGTGCCACACCGCTGACAATAGTGTTGTTGATGTTGTTATTAAGTGCCTTGTTCATTGAAAAGAAAAAAAATTTTTTTTAACTTGGAAAGATACCAGCAAAAACAACAGCAAACAAAACAACTCATCTCCTATTTCCAACGTTGTATTTGTAGATTGTTGACTGGAGGAGATATGTTATTAACATGATGGTTTATGGCTTCAGAATCTGTGCTGTGATTGGAAGTCTGCTTTTAGGGATTGTACTCATCATTATATCATTTGGAAGAAAGTATCTACCTTGTTAGTGAAATGCATATATATGTTCATTATTGGTTGCTGTTGATAGGTGCTGTTGAGTTGGTTCTAGGATAAAATAACGCCCAGTCCTGGGCCATACTCACAGCTGTCGTTATGTTTGAGCCCATTGTTGTTTCCACTGTGACAATCCTCTTTGTCACTGATCCTCCACTTCACAAAACACGACGTCCTTCTACAGGTACTGGTCCCTCCTGACAACATGTCCCAAGTACGAGAGACGAAGTGTCTCCACCCTCAGAATGCTAAGGAGCAATCTGGTTGTACTTCTTCCAACACTGATGTGTATGTTCTTCTGGCAGTCGATGATACTTTCAATATTCTTCTCCAACATCATAACTCAAATACATCAATTCTTATATTGTCTTCCTTATTTGTGATCCAACTTTCACATGCATATGAGGCAACTAAAAGTACCATGACTTGGGTCAGGTGCACCTTAGTCCTCAAACGGACAGCTTTGCTCTTGAACACTTTAAAGAGGTCTTTTGCCACAGATTTGCCTAGTGCAATATATCATTTGATTTCTTGATTGTTGCTTCCATGAGTATTGACCACAGAATCAGCAAAATGAAGTCTTTGACAACTTCAATCTTCTCTCCATTTAT